AAGAAGATAATAAGTAGCCTATGTGACATATACCAATACATACAGTGCCATCTATACCAATACTTTTGTTTTCCCTCGGGAATATCAATTTTTTCCGGGATAAAAAGTACCCTATTATTTAACTCGTCGAGTACCGTATTTATAGACACAATTAAAGAACAATAGGTTGCGGTCACCGGTGACCGCTTGGTGTTTGACAGTTTAATCCAGTCTTCTAATGTACGTCTGCAAAAATTCAAAGCAATCGGTTTAGTAGTTATGGCGTGAAAGCGGAACAAACAAACAAACAAACTCACTTTCCGATTTATAATATTAGTTAGGATAATGGCTACCACATGGGACCCAATAACGGTTAGATAGAATTGAATTTTCTGTCCACCGCATGAGATGATTGGAATTGCTTCAACGTCTTTCAATACTTAGGAGAATTGCCATTTTCAGGTTATTGGACTTAGGAATAAAGTTAATTTTACGTTTTTTGAACATTTCACTAGATTTCAATGAGTACAGTTTTGAATCTGATTGATCAAAATTAAGTCGCCAATAATTTGGTTATATCTTTGTTCTACTATCCAAAATTACATATGTCAAAGATTTTATAATTATGGCTATGGTTGAGAAAATTAGCTTTTGCCAAAATCCCGCAAGGATAAGGGTAAGAGGGGGTAGGCAGAGGTGCACATTATGCCACTGTAGGTACAATGTAACACCCACTTTTTCACTATTTATGTTATAAGTCCCATGTAATAGGAGGTGACCCTATTGCCATATACCGGGCACAAACCAGACTCCGTGCTACTACACAATAGTACTTCGCCCGACCCGGGAATCGAACCCGAGATCCATTACCCGGCAGTCGCACTTGCGACTACTCGTCCAACGAGGCAGTTTTATAAATTATATACCTACATATTTATAATCCCAAACTTTATGACCAGTTTAAACAACTTAATTTTTAGTTTATTTAAAGATATAACATAATTTATATATTTATATTTATTATTGGTTGTTTAAACAACCAATAATTTCTCGTACTCCTCCACTACAACAGAAAAAAATATGGAAATTACAACAGCTGTTTTCCGTTAAATCGCATTATACGTTCTCCCCATTTAATATGGCCAACTGTCTTCAATATTTATGTGTAATGTTCGCATTTGGCAAGCTAACGTGTCTCGTGTATGTGTGACCCATAACTTGAGCCCTATAGTACCCTCGTTTGTAGTTAGGGTCGGTTCTCTTAGCTCTTACTTTGTATTCCAGTCATGTGCCATATAGTGGATTTATACGCGTATAAAAAAGGGATTATTGCCTTATAATATGTATATGTATTATCTTGTTTCCTAACTAATTCAATCCAATGTTAAACATCCAATCTTTGGTTTGTTTCCTGGACCAGACTTAATATTGATAATGTTTTTAATATAGGTAGATTCTGTCTTCATAAAAACTATCTTGAGACATACTAGTTAACTAAAATCGCGCACGCTGCACATGAGGAAGAACTCCTCTGTGGTTCGAAAATAGTGGAGCTTTTCACAGTATATTCACGTGAATAACCCGCGATTTTAGTTAATTCAGGTAGATTCTCGTTTTATGCAACATAGTACTCAAAATTTGCTTAAGATACATTAGGATATCACATTTCAAAACCCAATCAGACTTGTCTCGTACTAAAGCCATCTTATTTCAAAATTACCACCATATCAAAGAATCAAATCGACAACAGCTGTTCAACAATACCACTCAACTTCAAACCCTATTCAGAGTCTTTAAAGGTATACTTTCCTGTGTAGAAAGTCACCTTTATATATACAAAGATATGTCGTACATATCCCTTTGGTTATGGTTCGCCGTCGCGTGCCAATCTCACCCTCACTTCTGCCAACGTGCAATTTGGCAACATTGCCATTTGTCAGGTCGTTGACTTCTTATCTACATGTCTGTTTATCAAGTGTATTTATATATTGAATACGTAGATATATTATGTGTACATACATAGAGAGAGCTTCCGCAACGCTTCGCAACAGAGTTGGTGGTTTGTTTTTAGATTTTTTTTAGGACGTCGTTTATTTTTGTGATGAGCATTTGTGCACGTTTTATTCTTGTAACTGTCTCTCTATTATCGAGATTTAAAACTTGGGATTATTAGGGAAATACCATAGAATCTAAATTTTAGTTCTCAATATGAAAATATTAAGTAAGCAATGAAAATTGCCAATGAAATTGCAATGCTGTAAAAACTTACATATTATTAAATATCCTTACACAAGAACACTTTAATGAAAAAATCTGTTGATAATCATATCCACATTTATAAATATATATTTTATCTATATAACCACATCCTCACGGACACGAGGCAGTCAAAAACTGAAGGTCGATCGAACAGAAATTGAGGATAAACTCAATTAACATACTGAACTTAATACACCATGAGGTTAAATATAAAATAACAGGAAACAAACGAATGTAATATCTAAAATCCTCAGTTATTTAACGACGACATAAAATATGGTCACAATAATAGTATTACAATGTCGGTTAGGTTACTTCCTGTCCATGAAATAAGTATGACATAAGCTGTACTGTGTTCATGACTATTCACTGCCTATTGTGATTCAGTTTTCGGATGTTAAAGATACGTGCTGTTAATTTTATTGTATAAGGAAGAAGGGAAATTCGTTGATCTGTCTGTTTTCTACTAAAGGTAGACTAGTACGTCTAGAATTTTAGAATGCCTATAATACAGTAGTTGACAACTAGTCAAATTCAATACTTTTATCGAAACGTCAAAAACAATAGTGTTCTATGAATTTTGTACGAAATACCATCTTATGACGTCATCATATTTTCACGTCGAAAAACACACTTATGTAGGTATATCCAAATAAAATGCGAGAATAAAATGAAAATTAAGTATATCAGCAAATCAATGAATGAAAGTGTAACTATTTTGCAATATTTATTTGGACTGAATAATCAAAGTAATTTATTTTTGACCCAGGAAACTACCCAAGTAGTCTATAAAAGAATTAAATCCAATTATGTGTGTAAAACTTGAGATAAATTAAAGAAACACGGCCAATGTTTGTTTTTTCATAACTATCCACTATGCCAGTCTTATCACTACATTATTGAGTATCTTCAATTATAATATTCATCAGATTATAATAATGTAGCTTCGATTATTCGTAATCTATTTTTGTCTGTGTACTCTCACAGACATTCAAATTGAAAAAGGGACTTCATATTCGCATTCCTTTTACAATTTTACATGTCATTCGCAAAAGGGGATATACAAATTAATTCCATGACTAGACAGGCGATATTAAAAACCGTCTGCATTGCATTGAGGGGAGGGAATGAGGGAAACCTCACAAGCGACCCTCAAAGGATTAATTAATGGTACCGTGACCACCCTCACGGTGTACAGAGTCTGTGTTCTGATTGTATAGGAGTTACACCCATTAGTAACCTTGACAATATACTACCTTTACGAGAAATTACAGTTCTTTTTATTAGATATCGTTATATCATGAGCTCCAGACAGACAGTTGAGTCAGTACTGCGTCGCTGCCGGCGAGTATCGATCGGTTCCCTCGTTCACAATGTCAGCTCTCGTTAAGCACTAGAGCCGAGCTTTTACTGGAAACTTCACGTGTCCAAGAGTTTCTCCGCATTTAAAGACTAGAATAGAATCAATCACAAAACATATTCAGCAACCATAATGTCCTATGTCATGCTTCCTCATAAGCTAATGTCAGTCTTATGGCGCTGTACACAACGACCATTTTACACCGAAACAAAAGCCAGACAATCGACAGGGCATGAGGGAGACGTGTAATCGTTATTCAAACTGGCAGACTAGTATTTCCGAGCTTACCGCGCATGCGTGCGATCGCAGCGCTTAATAGGTCACGGCCTCACAGTCTGCACTGGAAGCCGGCTACAGGGATATACTTAGAACGATACGCCATTTTAGCAAAAAGAAAATACATTTGCTTCGTTAAAAGTCAAAATAACGATATGAAAGTGCACCTTTGTGAGTTTGTGTGGTTCGAAACCAGTGGCCGAGACAATCGCACGATCCCTTTCCGCGAACCAGAAACGCCACGACCGGTCCGAAAATAAGCGACACAATCTGTTTTTACAGAATTGAAACGAATTTTATACTAAAGGAGACTGGGCTACGTCGCTGTGTGCCCGCGACATACTCGTTTTATCTGAATTATGTGATACAAATGTGACCGTGCCTACGTGTACCGGCTCGCCATGACTCACCGCCACAATAGTGATTCTGTGCCCTGGGGACTCAGTCCCGCGGGATCTTTTGTATAATAGTGTATGTATTAACATTTCAAAGTGTATTCTTTGTGTTCTACCTATACGCGTAAAATAAAACCGGCGGCGCCGGCACGTCAGCCGACCATGCTGTTCGTGGTTGCGTGCTCCATTCATTACGGTTTCTGTAGCGATACAGCGTGGACTGCTTCCGTTACTGAGCAGTGGCCACGGTGCTGGCTAGTGGCGAGTTACCGGCTGGCTCGGAACTCGCAGTGACTTAACATATGGTAACCGGGCGGGCGAAGGTCGTGCGGCTCGCGTCACCCTAACATAAGGTAAACTCGGTCGGGCGTGTGCGCGCAAAACGTAAACACTGGCCGGCGAATGCACCGAAAAAACTCGCGCGCTATGATGTCACCGTGCAAACATTAGAACGTGGAATTTAAAATTAGATGCGTCCAGCGAATCTATCGAGAACGGTTCATTGAGCGACGGGCGGGCGAAGCGAGCGGAGCGCCGCTAGCGAACGAGCACGAACGACGAGGTAGCGTAGCGGCGCCGCCGCGACCTTGCACCGTCACGGGCGCAGCGTCACGCCGCGCCGGATTATTTTCGTCGCGTTTTGGCACCTACACCTCACGCGCGCTCCCTAAACCACAATCCCGTGCCGTTTAGTGCGAACTGTACGCTTTAATATCGCTTTTATTTTACAGATTGCGACAGACTCTTGCGGCGCGGCTCGCGGAGATTGACGACATTGTGTCCGAATTCGACCGCGTGTCGGAGAGAATCGACGAGTTCCGACAGCAAATAGAAGTGTTGACAGCGAAAGTAAGGACTTTCTACGTGTTCGGTGAGGACGAGGCCGACAGTGTGCGCGCGCTTACCAACGAAGTTTCCGACTTGGTGGAGCGCACAAAGAACTTCACCGAGGAGAGCCGGAAGAGATACGGAGGCTCAGCCCCGGCGGACGTCGCGCAGGAGCTGTCCTCCCTAGAATTATCATCTGAGGCATTGGCAGCAGCTATGGAAGAGAAAGAAAGGGAATGGAAACGTGCGCGCACGGCTCGCTCCGAGTACGCTACCGACGTGGAAGACGTGCAGGCGTGGGTGCGCGCCGCTGAGCTTACAGCCAGGGACCGCACCCTGGCACCCGAGCCCTACAGGGAGCGCCTGGTTGCCACCAGGGCTGAAGTGCCAAACGTTGCCGATCGTGTTGAGCGGTTGACACGCAATGCTCGAGCGATTGTTGAAGGCAGTCGCGATGCTGGTGAACGGCAGCTTGTGCAGTCTACAGTGACCGCGTTATCGGATCAATTCTCAGCAGTGTGCAGTGAGCTGGAAGCTCGACAGGCAGCTGTAGAAGACGCCTGCGATGCGGTTGCACGTTTCCTTACATTACTCGAGAAAGTCTTACTTTGGGTTGAGACACAGCGTGCATTCCTTGCGCGGCCACTCCCATTGGCCGACTTGCAGGAGGCGCAACAGAAACAGACTGAATATGGGGTGCGTTGGTCGTTTTCAACATAACAATATTTACAATTACATGATACTATTTACTTACAAATTATCTGTTTTCCAGAACGCGCTCAAGAGCTGTAAACAGCAAGCCAAGAATTTAGCGGATATGGCTAAGGAGATAGAGGCAATCGAACGGGTTACAAGCCCAGGAGACTTGCCGTCTAGGCTAGAAGCAGCAGAGAATGCGACCGTAGACGTTGAGAAGCGATTAGCGAAGACAGTCAGTACAGCAACAGAATATAATACCGGAGTTAAATATGAAAATAATACTAATTGTATTCTATTTTTATTTTACAGAACGGTCTACTACAGGAATTAGCAGAGGAATGGGAGCGATGCGAAAGAAAGTTAAAAGATGTCGGGCACTGGCTTGAAGCGACATCGAGGACTCTAGAAACACCTCAAAATGCTAAAAAGCCTCTCAGAGATCGTCTCGCTCTGAGAGAAAAGTTGATAAATGATATCTCCACGCAAAAGACGAAGATCTCATATGCAGTGGAAAAACTCAACGTGAGTCGACGTGGTCGATTTATATGCATTTGCTAAGGTTTTAATTTCAGGAGCGGTTCTCGGAGTCAGCGTAAACTCGTGCTAACACATTATGTGTGTGGACAGGTACACTTCGGACCGGACGGCGTAGCAGCGCAATCAGTGGGGCCCGAGGGAGTGGAGGCAGCGGCGCGCTCGCTCGTGGCGTCGCTGGACGGCCTGGCGGCGCAGACAGGCGCGCAGGCCGCGGCGCTGGCGCGCGCGCTGGCGCAGGTGGAGGCCTACTGCGCCGACGTGGCCCGCCTGCGCGCGCAGCTGCTGCAGGCCGAGCAGCAGCTGCGCCAGGCCGCGCAGCCCAACTATAGTCCGCGCGAGCCCGAGCGCGCTTCCCGCCATCAACAGGTAAGCTACTTCATATTCGGCTCGACCCGCACCGATCCCCGCGAGTAGGTGGCTAGCGAGTATTCTAGTTTTGTTTATCCGACCTGGAGGCTCTCAGGGCGACCGGGCAGGTGGCGGGCACGCTTCATATCACCTGCGGGCGCCTCGGCGCCCGCCTCGACGCTCGATCATTTTTTATTTATCTTTTGTTTTCTTTTTGTCACCCTCCTCCTCACCCTCCCCGCTACTAACACGTCGAACTGATATCCTCCGCTAGGAGTGTCGTGAGCGCGTCAAGTCGCTCCAGAGCAAGATTCAGGCGCGTAACGAACGAGTCAAGCTTCTGGTGCAGCGCGGCAGTCCTGACGCTGAACCGCTGCGAGACGCGTAGTCCGCGATCTACCGATTTAGTTTATAAGTCTTCTCATCTCGTCCCTGTAATTTTTATAAGCATATTATAATACGAAACGTTAAAATATACGAGACGCATCGCAGCCACCGTCGTTTCCTTTCGCTCAACCTCTCATCACGTCCGTCCGCTCGTCTCAGAGACACCCTTGTAAATTATGTGTTTGTCCGTACTTGCGTATCAGGATGTCGCCCGGCGAATCGAAGAGCTGACCGGAGCGATCTACGCGCTGGACCCGTACTTCGTGATGCCAGCGACAGACGAGCATGCCGCCACTCTGTCCATGCTCGTGACGAGCGCGACGCACGCGCGCAACAACAGGCGCGCGCGCTCGCCCGAGCGGCGAGAACGCGCGCGCCTGGCCCCGCCCGCGCCCGCCGCCCGGGCCCGCTCGCCGTGCTGGGCGCCGGGCGGCATCACCTACGCCGAGATAGTCAAGGGCTCCGGCTCCCGCTCTAGCTCCCGCGGATCCCGCGCACCCGACGACCACGAACCACCCCGCGCCTCGCCCTCCCCGCCCGAACCGGCCGACGCCGGGAGCGATCCCGTGGAAGTGCTCGTGGAACCGTGTGTGCTCAGTGAGAGAGTCGATGAACAAGTGTCGCGCAGTGACACTCGTGTTAGCGAGTCTATCAGTGTCAGTGAGCCTTATGGCGGTGACGTGATTGTTTACTATGATGACTTTGCCTCGCGTTCGGAACCAGAACCGGTTCCCGAATACTACGCAGAACCTCCAATGGAGTACCGAGAAATGCCCGTTGATGTGCCGGCAACCATGTATCAGGAATCACCTGAACCAATGAGAAAATTACCTGATCAACCAATGAGGGAAATACAACCCATTGAATCGGAAAGAGATGTTAGCCCCATACCAAAACATCGCTCGCACGAGTTATCATATGCGGAAATATTAGCACTCGGGTTACGCAGACAACCGCGTACTCATAGCGTTACTTCATTACCGAAACCACAAGTAGCACAGGTAGAGCTGGTTAAGGAGATCGTAGTAGAATGCGTTGAAAGATCTCCACCGATTCAGCAATATGAATCGAAAGTTGAGAAGATTGAACCGCCGAGGTTCAAACCCGATAGACCCGAAAGACCGGAAAAAACAAATAAATTAGATAGACCTGATCGGCCCGAACGACCGCCTCCTAGGAGTAGATCAAGGGATATGCCAAGACAGAGGCGAGGTCCAGAAAAGAGGCCTACGAAGGCTCATGACATTCAGGCTATGAAAAAGAAAAAGACAATGAAAAAAGTTATTGAAGTCGACAACTTTGATGAACCAGAGCAACCGATTGAAGTAGAACTAACACCCATCAGTGATATTACAAATAAGTCTGTGACTGTAGAATCAACTGTAGAGACCGTTTACAAGGAGGTCACTAAAAAACTACAACACAGTGCTACAGTCGTAGAGACTATTACTGAAATTGTTGCAGAAGACTCGCAACCTGAAACTTCTGAAGAAGTTGAACATAAAAAACCCAAAAAGAAGCAAAAGCCTAAAAAACCTAAAACACCCGAAGATGAAATTCAGAGAGCTCTCAAGGAAATTGAAGAGCTAGAAAGGAACAAAAAGAAAAAGGCGAGGGAACCTCGTGATAAAAGTAAAGATAGCATCACTGAAATTATATCAGTTGAAGCTCCAAAGGACCCAATTACTGTCGAATTTAAAAAGATAAATATTAAAGAATCGGACACCCAAACTAAGTCTAAGAAAAAGAAAGGTGTCAAAGAATCACCGGACAAAACGGCTGACGTTACTGCTGAGCTTATTACTGTAGAGGCTTCTGCTCCAGTTGAAGTAACAACTAAAGAATTTAAACCGAAGAAAAAGAAGAGTCAAAAACAAGCCTCTTTAGAGAAATCAGAACCAAGTTCTATTGACAATATAACTGAGCCTCAAAGTCCTATTAGCTCTGGAGAATCTATACAAAAATCAATTGAAATAAAATCTGATTCAGATTCACTTTCAGTTGTAGAAGTAGTTGCTCAACCGGATATAACTGAATCAAAAGAAATAACTAGTTCAATAGATGATTCTACCAAAGAGCAAGTTATTAAAACTGGCGACGAAGTGCATAGAGAAAGTTCTGTTGAAGTTATTACTACAGTAACTTCTAGTATTGCACATCACATTATAAGTCAAACTGAGTCTGTGACGGTTATTAGCTCAGAAAATACCGTTAGCGAAAGCAGCCCTAGTGAGATAGTTACATCTGAAATTGTAACATCACAGCCTGCTTTTGAAAACGTGCAAGAACAGATTTCAGACAACACAGAACTACCTGCTGGAGTTTCTGAGACAGTTACTCTGGTTACTGAACTTGCTGAACCTCAAAAGAAACACAACATTGAACAATCGACTATTGTATTCAAAGAGTGTGAACTATTATCCGCCCAAGATCAGACTCCAAAACAAGAAGATCAAGGCAATAAAAAGGCATCTAAAAATAAAAAGAAAGCACAAAAGAGTAAACAAAAAACTGAAGATATTAGTTCAGAATTTATTACCAAAGAGTCTGAACAGGTACAACAAGAGCAGAAATCAGTACCTTCTATTGAGTCAAAACAAGAAAAACCTGAACAACTTGCAGTTGGAGAAGTTTTGTCTTTTAAACAATCAGAACAAGTTTTACCCAAGCCAGTACAAACTGAAGCAGAAAAGCTTGTCATATTAGAAGAAATAGAAACCGTTTTGTCTGAAAAGCAAACTGCATCAGAACACCCGTTATTGGAAGTATGGCAGACACCGCAACAGAATCAAGCTGCTGAGCTTGAAACTGTGCAGGTTGAACAAGAGGAACAAACAGAACAATCAGAGGAAAAAATCAAAGTGGATGAAGTTCCTTCCAAAAATAAGAAGAAAAAGAAACAAAAGAAACACGAAAAGACCCCAGAACCTGTTGTATTTGAGGCTAAAGAAAATGTTGAGCTTATTGAAGAAAACGTTAAGACAACGCCTATAGAACATCCTGTACAAGAAATACCAAATATTATAGAACAAGTCGAAGAACAAAAACCACAGAAGAAAAAGAAATCTAAGAAAGGAAAACATACTGATGTCAAAGAAGATGTAGTTGAAACGACAGTGGTTGAACGTAAAGAAATTGAGTTACCAACGGAAACGTTTGAAACTAGTCCAAAAGAAATTGAAGAACCACAGTCTCAAGAAGACAGTAAGCGAAAAAAGAAATCTAAATCGAAATCTAAACCTGTCGAGCAGGAATCAGAGGTGGAAACTAGAGAAACAGTTGATGTTAAAGAAATAGACGAAGTTAAAATACCTTCCCCTGAACCATCCATGGAAGATATAAAGGTCGAAGAACCAGCTTTTGAGGAAGTTAAATCCCACAAGAAGAGGAAACCTAAAAAACAAAAGATTGAAAATGATGATATAGAAAAAGCTCTAAAGGAGATTGAACGTACTGAAGGTTCTAAAAAGAAACCCAAAGAAAAGATACCCAAACCCAAAGGTAAACCTGATCATCCAAAACCAACAGAATCAAAAGCAGTTAAGCAAGAAATACAAGAGTCTAAAGTGGTTGAACAAGAAATACGTGCGGATGTCGCTTTGAAGAAGGTGGATTACGATATATCACCTGAAGAAGATACTGAAAGTACTCAACCAATCGAACATATTGATTGGAATGCCATGTTAGAAGAAGAAGAAAGTTTAACTGAAATACCTTTTGAATCCATCAAACAAGAATCGAAATCAACCACTATTGAAACGTCGTACATTGCTAACCAAGTAACAATTCTACAAGAAACAACTAACTTGCTGGAAAGCGAGCGTACTGTTACTAAACTTGAATCATCGGTAGAACAAGCTGTTCCTGGAAAATCATCTGAGAAAGTCGAAGAGGAAAAAATTATCAAAGAAGTACGACAACAACAAGCCGACCCTATTTCTAATCCTGCTAGCGAGCAGAATAATAACGATAAATTCTTTTCAACTGATGTAATAAAAGAAGGGTCATACAATATTGTTGAAGAGGTGACTCGCTACGAGCCTATAACTCAAGATGTTGAGACCCGCACTATTTATCTAATAACGCACGAAGAGAAGAAACTGCCTCCTATCAGGACTGTAAAAGTATTTAGGAGTAAGAGTAACTCGTTAGAAGAACCTCAATCTACTGAAGATGACGTAGTTTTAAGTGAACAAACGATTAACAAAATCACTGATGATAAGTCTTCCATTAATGTTAGTGATAATGTTTTAGACAGTAAGGTTGCAACGGGAAAATTAAGTTCAGAAAGTGATATTGCAGAAGTAGATGTTACTCAAATTGAATCGATTCAAAAAGCTGAGAAAGAACATGTCATTGAGAATGTGACTTCTAAAAGTTCTGTACTGACTACGCATACGCAAGTTGTCACTAATGTAGTCAGTGAAGTGACTACAAAAGAAACTATCCGAGTTGACGAGGAATCCAACACGAAAGGAATCGAGGTTACAACCCAAAAATCGTCTACGCTATCAGATCAAGTAACTGAGAGTATTGGTGAAGTTCAAGAAGAGGTTCCAAAGGAATATGAACTTATCCCAGAAAAAGAATCTGTTCCAGAAAAAAGTAGTATACCGCTATCAGAAGAAGACTTCACAGAAATAATTGAACAAGCCATTTTCGGTTCAGTACAAGATCGTAACCGAACAACAACTGAAAAGAAATCCAAGGAATCTTCGAATATTCCGTATCAGGAGTTGGTAAACGAAGTTAAAACATATTCAGAGAATCTAGATACTTATCAATTGGACTATGATTACTCTCAGTTAATACTTAGCCAGCGAGAGTCTAGAGTTTCACAAGGAGAAGAATCTTTAGTAGTTCATGAAGAAAAACCGATTAAATCTGTTACAGAACTAGAAGCAGTAAATGTTTCTCCAGCTGAAAAAGAACTGTCAGCAGTAATAAGTCAAGAAATTATAGGTACCGATAAAGTATCGGTGGAAGAAGAAGGCTTTGAAAATGTTGTCTCGGTAATTGAACCACCAACAGCGGAAAAATCAACAGATAGGCTTGAAGAACTTATTTCTCAAAATATTTTGACTTCAGAAATGTCTACAAAAACTGAAATTGAGCACACCGTTGATTTAATTACATCAGAGAGTTCTGTACTTAAGCCCGTTGACCAAGTCGATGCTAAAGCTTTTACTGAAACAAATGTTGAAATACTTTCGGAACTACAAGTAGAGGAGCCTCAATTACTTGAAACAGCAAGTAAACAGAAGCATAGTGAAGCGCCTGAACCTAAACTTGTATCTTCAGTTAATGAAGAAGAGCCTAGAATTAGTTACCATGAAATTAAGGACGCTGAAGCAATTTTAGCATCACAGGTATCTGAGGACAAAACTGAAACCACAACAGATGCTCTCAACGAAACAGTTTCTTCTTCGCGTGTCTCAGAAACTGTTTTAAAATCTGAAGATACAAGTGTGGTTCAAGAATCTTCAATAGAAATTCAACAAGAATTAGTATCAAAGGAAGATATTAAGGAGCATAGAGTGTCTCCAGTCAAGGAAGAGGCTCCCAGAGTAAGCTATCATGAAATTAAAGATGCTGAATTTATTTTAGCATCACAGACTATACCAAAAGAAGAATTAAATTCTTCGAACATTGTTCAAACATCGGAAGTAGTCAACGTCGAAGATGACGTGCTTAAAACTCTTAATAAGACAATTACAATGGTTAAAACAGTCACTGAGCAAACTGTTGATTTAATTGCCGCTGAAAAAGTGGTTCTGGAACCTACGGATTCAAAACTTACAGTTACTGAAACAAAAACTGTTACTGTCGTGGACGACAAACCTTTAAGAGAAGAGCGACCACTGTCGTATGAAGAGGCCCCTCGTCATAGCTACCATGAGATTATTGATGCGGAAAGACGCCTTGCTCTGATAACTAAACAACAAGATGACATTCAACAAGATACTAAAGATGTAGTTGAAGATAAACCTGTCGTGCAAGATGTACTAGTAGAGTCCGAGTATTCTCAAGTAAAAGAAATCTCCAAAAAAGTCAAACCAGATTCACCTGTGATCGAAGTACCAAAAGATATACTATCAGCGGCTGTAGCTGAAGCGCCAAAAGTGAATTATCAAGAAATCACTGATGCAGAAAAGCATTTGGCAGCAGTCGTAACTACGCAAAAAATGGAAGAAAGGTTTGAAGTCGACGTTCAAAGTAGTACATCAACTTCTACAAGTATTTTACCAGAATCATTGATATTTGAATCGCCACGGGTTAGTTATCATGAGATTTCAGATGCAGAAAACCGTCTGGCGACAATTATATCCAGAAACGCATCTAAAGAATCTTCTCCAGTTGATACAACAGAAGATATACCTGTAACTGATAGACAAGTAGAAGAAACACCAGAGCCTACGCCAGATGTGGTTGTTACTGCTGGACCCACAGAAACACAGCAAAAGATAGTAAATCACGTTCCTCATAATGATGTTTCTATTCATGATGATGAAATAGCCCCAATAATAGAAAATGTTCCCCAATTAGTGCCAGAGCCTGAACCAATAAGACAACTCATTTATGAAGTGCCAAGGTTCAGTTATCATGAAATTAATGATGCTGAAAGTTTATTTGCTACTTCACGAGTTTCTCTAGAAGAAGTTGAAGTCCCAGCTGAAGTGGCTGATACAACTCCAACAGAAAGGGATACAACTACGACAGAAATAGATACAACTACAACAGAAATAGATACAACTACAACAGAAACTAATATAATTGTAGCAGAAACTGTATCAGCTCACCTGGTGGAGCCTACAACTCCTGTCAGTGAAGAAGTCAAAGAACCGAAACCAGTGGAAATTGATTCTGTATTTGAGCCTTTACGTCACAGTTATCACGAAATTCAAGATGCTGAACTTGTGCTAGCATCTATGAAAGTTGATGAAGTGCCTCGAACATCTGAAGAGAAACCTAAATCAGTCGACAAAGAAGTTCCCAAGTATTCTTCCGAGCAAGTAGAAGTAACGTTACTTCAATTTGATAGGCCACCTCAACCTAAAACTGACAAAGAACATACTATAGACTTCCTTACGAATGAAAGTATCGTATCAGAACCTGGGAAAACTATTGTTTCTCCTGTAGAGAAACCTTCAGCGCTTCAAAAGGCTCATTTGGAAAAGCTTGCTCTGTCTTTTGAAGTCGATGACCTTAGTAATACGCCAATATCAGTAGTTTATGGTAGTGCGGGTACCGCAACACCAACCCAGGAACTTAAAAGTCCTGTGTTTAAGACTGAAGACATGGTCCCTGAATCCCCAGATGTTCCACAAGCCCCAGTTAATGTTGAAACAGCCAAAATTGAGGAATCGACACCAACTCAAGAAGAACCTTCCGTTGAAGATGATACTTTTGTAATCATAGATCACAGTGAAGTCATAAACATAATTACCGACGTAAAAGATAGTGAACCTGTGGAAATACAACTACACAAGCCTGATGAATCTTCAAAAATTATGGAAATATCCCCCGTTGTTGTACAAAGTGTCACTGAAACTACTTCAATTGAACAAGACTCTTCTTTAGAACAACCGCGATCTATTACTCCTAAAACAAATGATGACCATATTGTGGTCAAAAATCTTATCGAAGAAGCTCTTCAAGAACCTGAATCAACAGCTGTTACTAGAACAAAACCAGCTTATGAAACTTTCGTCATTGATGATCTCAATGAAAGTCTTGTGCCTGTGGTATTCGGTGATATTAAGGATATTGAGCATTCTATAAAATACAGGAAAGAAGAACTTTTACTACAAACTGAACCTTTGGAACCTGTTCAACCACCTAAATCTGAAGAAGAAATAGTCACTGTAGCTGACGAAGAAGTGTTAGGGCGGTCACCTTCTCCCATAGAAGATATTGAAATCGTTGAAACAGAAGGTTTTACCATTCCTCATCCTAGTGAATATGTTGAGTTAGATCCCTCGACTGTTTTAGAGCTCGATGCTAAGCCTGACACTATCTCGGCGGATACACAAAGTGAAGTTTTCGATTCGGCTATAAACTTACCTGAATCACAAATTGTTAAACAATCCGACATGAATACGCATATAACATCTACGGACTATCAAACGGAACATATAGTATCAACTGAAATTAGGGAAACACAATTAACCCAAACTGAAACTGTTAGTCGTGTAGAAAAATCTCCTATACATAGCCTGCATGACCTCCTTCCTGAAATTGACTCCATCCCTGAATTCAAACCCTCTTATTCGAACACTGTATTGTATTCAAAATTATCGGCTGATGCACCCGAGTTTACACCCTCTTATATGTATCAGACTGTAACTACTGTGTCTGAGAGTAGATCTGATGTAGTAGGAGATGCACCTGCACCTATTACTGTGGAAGAAGAAGTATCAAATATTGTAACTGAGGAAGTACCACCTGTACCACAAATTTCATATTCTTCGGTTTTACAAACTAAGAAAGAAAAGGTCGAAGTTGGAGCACAAACACCACCATCACCAATTGAAAAAGTAGTGGTACCTGACGCACCTACAGATGAACTACACGAGGAACATGTTGAAACCAAAACTAAGAAAACTAAAAAGAAGAAAAAGAAGGATAGAGATGAAAAGAAAGAGTCTAAACCAGCTGAATCTGTGCCTCTACCTTCTGCCTCTCATGTACCAGAGAGGGTTGCAGTGTTACCAGAACCTGTTAATGTATGGGTCAAAGCTGCTGAAGAAGGCAAATCGTATGCCGATGTGTTGGCTGAAGGCTTAATTCATGAACAAAGAGAATTTATACAGCTAGTCCCAGAGAAGCCAAAAGAAAGAGAATTGTCTCAGCCAAGAACAGAAAAAATACAACATGATGTTGAGAAAATCGTGACACCCACTGTGCTACCTACCCAAGACATAAAAGATACTGTGGAGATAAAAGAAGTAGTTTCAGAATATGAACAAAGTATTGGCTCTTGGGCTAAGATAGTAGCAAAACGATCATCGCCGGAAAGAATACAAAAAGTAGAAGAACCGCAACATGTCACACCCACACACGTTCCTACTAAAGCTCCAATGATTCTTGTAGATGAATCAGAAAGTGATCAACTCAAACCTGAACTAGAAGTAGATGCTGAAGGATTTATTACTGTTGACAGAAGTAGACGATCGAGATCTAAGTCAAGAGAAACACGTTCACGATCAGGTGTTTCACAAAATCGTGAAACACGTGAAAAGTCAGAAAACAGATTTGAAGCCCTAACTACGACTCTTAGACCAGATGATGTAGAATCTACTCAGAGTCCTTCAGAAGATGAAAAACCAGCTAAGAAACCTAGTAGAAAGAGCCGTAGCTCTAAGTCTAGAGATAAAGAAGTGAAACCAAAAGCCATGGTAGTAGCTCCTAGCACGTCCGATGAAGACAAACAACCGCCAAAGAAAGACAAAAAGAAACGTTCATCTAAATCAAAAGATAAGGTAGCCCCTGTACCTGTCGAAGAGAAATTGAAACCTGAAATTGTAGAAGTCTCAGAACCATTAAAGGAAGAAGAGAAGGATGATGAACGCATAACCACACCATCAGTTCAGTCTGAACCTAAAAAGAAAAGTAAAAAGAAGAAGAAAGACAAGAAGCCTGTAGAAGTTTCAGAAACTACCGAGGCGTCCTCCCCCTTAGAAGTTACTTCTTCAGAACAAGAGATAATGTTAGAATCTACATCAATAACAAAATCTCGCCAAAAGAAGTTGGATACTCCCTTATCTACACCAGAGTCGATTCAAACTCCAATCAAAGACAGAGTTTTCTCTGAAGCTCAGTTCTGGAAAATGGATCCTAGTAGTTTAGATGTATCTGAAATAATATCAGTAGAAATACAACATACACCAACGGAAACATATAAAATTGAAATAAAAGAAAATGTTCCTAGTGAAAAATTAACAACTAAATCTGAAGAACCGAAAAAACCTGAGAATGTTGAACCAGTCCACTCTTCAGCTAAATTTATAACTGAGGAAATAACATCTGTTGAAACTCAGATACAGGAACTTGAGGACACAATTGCTGAAGATCAATCACTTGAAAGTAAAATGGCTGATCTGCAACGGGAAATTGAGGAAATGTTGTTGCCTGAGAATGATTCATCATTAATTAGTGATGATTCTCCCAAAGAACTAACAGACACTCAAACATCCATGGAATATCAATATGATGAGTTATTGGATAATATGACTCCGTCTTTGGCCAGCCCAGAACTTGATGTGGAACCAAAGTCAATCGAAGAAACAACGGTAGAGGATAAGACCACTAAACATGATGAGGATCTTGATGATAAACATATTAGCATGAGCATGATTGACTCAGTGTTAGATGATACCGAACCTTTGTCTATAACAGAAACTCACTCGTTGGAACACTCGGAAGGTTTGTTAGTTACTCAAGAAGAAGACACTCCAAGAGATTCTACTAAACTGGATACATCAGTTACTACAATCACTACCTCAGAACAGGTAAAAATTGTACCCAAAGATGTTTTGGAGGCTATGATTAAAGAAACAAGTGCGAAACAAGAAACAACTATATCTACTGTTATCGAGACTACAAGTACTATTACTAAATCTGATGTAAAACAAGATGAACCAACTGCACCTGCATCTGTAAGTGAGCCATCTAAACCAATTAAGGAAGAAATTGCCTCCACTCCACCTGCGTTACAAAATACTGGAGCAGAACAGGTGGTAACATTCATTGAAACTGAGAGGAACATTCAACAACCAGAAAAGAAAGAGACAGTTAAGGACTCAGTAACATCATTTATTCAAATGGAAAAGTCGCAGAAGGACATTTTATCATCGGATATGAAGATACCGGAACTTCAAAAACAAGAATTACAATCCACACCAATTGAACAAAACATCAATGAACAGAAACATATTTCAGCCGATTCTGTATCTGATGTCCCTCTATCTAACATTGATACCATTACTAACACAATCACAAACCTAAAATCGGATTCTTTCTGGACGGACAAACACAAAATTGATGATGCGGAATTGCTATTAATAGAACGTCAATCTGTTGAAAGAACAATTGTACCTGTAGACACTGACGAACCACACGTTGATGAAGGCATCAGCGTCGAGGACAATATTATCATTGATAACACTTTCTGGCCTGAAAAACACTTGTACCACGACGCTGAGTGCCAATACTACCTCTCATTGGCTCGTAAAGCTAAAACACCCACTAACGATACCACAGAAATCAAAGTTTCTGACCAAAATGATAAAGATAGAGATCAGGGCGGCAGTTCTGGTCACTCTTCTGAAGGTGAAGAACCAAAAGACCCTTCTGGTTCACCTTACGACCCCGACTACATATCCATGGATCTACCCGGTGGCATTTGTAGTTGGAAAGACAAATCGTCGTACCTAAGCGTCGAAACACCTGTTGTTGATGACGTTGTGAACGAGCCTGTGTCTAGGGAGGATATACTAACCACCCTACCTATAGCACCAGCCCCATCCTCATCCACACAGGAGCCGGAGGAGACACCCCAGAGGACAACAAAGGTGACTGACCCACAGTCGTATTGTACGATTTTTAAATATATACTCTATGTTTGGCATGATATAATTACTAAATTCTTAATTTCACATATTACGAAGCTCTGTATTGTGATGTATTTAGCCACGCCGCAGCTCGTCTTGTAGTGCCACATTTTGGCGTGCACTGTAAATTATTACAGTAGTATAGTAACGCATTTGATTAGTCATTAATTTTTGTATTGTGTGAACTTATAAATTACTCTAGTCATCTCTAGTCAGATTTGATTTTTTCTAGTCTTTGTCAGTCATCTGATATTTTATTGTAATAAATTATAAAATGACGTGCATTGTTTTATTTACACGTGCGTGATGATAGTTTTATTTTATGATTTATTTTATTTTTTTGATCAGTGATACCCCTGTCAAAATTTGGCTACTACGAGACGATAGACTGTTGTCGCTTAATTGAGAAAAGTTTTTATAGAGTCACTATTTTGAGGCTTTGAATTTTGATGAAAATGCAAGCCAGAACAAACAAGACTCCAAGTCTGCAACCTTAGTAATTTACACAAAGAACTTTGACAAAGTCTGCAATTTAATTTAAAATTTCGCTAAGGTCAGTCATATTTTTTGCTACATTTTGGAATGTATGTAGATTAGTCTGCAAGACTTCTCATACTACAAATGAATGGTATTTTTGATATTATTTATACCTGTTTTATTTGATTGTTTTATTGATTGACAATATTGTTTAGTATCCAAGAATAGTCTTGAATTGACAACAGATTGTTAATCGTAAGTGTTCCGTACTGAAAACGATTCGAATGCTTTTACTGTGAATGTCACACGAGCACACGCTGCTGACAATGGAACTAACCATAGGTGTATGGGAGGAATTAATTGTTGCAATGACTTCTAATTATAAATTGTACAAAAGAACATATTTTACTGCAGATTTACATTGTATCTATTAGCTTAACAATGAACAATTATCTCCTCCTGCACACACCTAATCAAAATTGAACAGTTCTCTTCCAAATTCTTTGGCTTTGGATGTTTTTTGTTCAAAATCATTATTGGAAAGTTGAATTTTCCGAAAGTCACGCGACAACAGTACGGGACACTTAGATACAGGACTGACCAGCTTTTGTCAATATTCCAGTAATATTCCCCTTGTTTGCAGACTCTAAAGTTCGCATGTCATGCCAACATTATTGTTATGAACTAATTTGAGTTTATTTTGTTGTTGTTGTTATGTGTTCCTAACAGCTAGTCCATTGGAATGATCACGTGGACTGTTTGACCCAATTAAATATCATTCGACGACATGGAATCAGAATATCTATTATACTTTTTACTAGTTTCTTTTTTGATTGAAAGTATATTGCATTCATATGAAATTTAAATTAATAGAACTTGATTCGTAAATGAAAATGTTCTTCTAGATTACATAATATCGTAATGTTTACGTGATAAAGTTAATCCTGTTTCGTGCTCACTCCCAGATACTGGCCGTGCATAAATTTTAGCTTTATTCGTAATGAATGCCTGCGCACATTTCCTCGGGCATGCGAACCCATAATATATGTTTTGGCGGTCGTCCAAAACTATTGGTTCAGAGATGTATTTAAACTTGATTTACTTCTACACGTGAACAGATTGTGCATGACGTTTTACATTTTGAGATTCGACAGTATGCACGGTGATTGATTATAACCGTCAACGTCGTTTAGTTTTCCTTTTTGAATGGATGCATTGTTTAGAGTGCCAGTTCCTTGTGATCGTTTTTTTGTTACTAAATGTAGAATTTAATAGTGATGATAGATTTCTGGTTCCATCTCGTCATTGTACAAAAGTGTGCGTTGCTAATAAAAGTGTGTGTTCTCAGGATGAATTATCTAACGATATAGAAACTCTGCTCGAAGAAATAAGAGATGTACAGACGCGCTTAGCGGATCTGCCTGATGAGAGCTTGGACACCATGGCGGAGGGCCTCAAGGTGAGTCTCACTGTATATAAACCATTGATCAAAAATAACAGACCTGAATTCCTACTGACGTAGATACTGGTAAAATTAGATCCGCGATCTCATACTGCAGATTGGTTTAAAGCAAGCTAAATGAATGTTCATTGAAATTCAAAATTGCCCGATTAGCTGCCTATAAACAAAACTAGAATTGTATCGTTGGGAGGTATCAGGAGCAGCATCAGCTGTTTTTGTCGTATTGTTGGAACTAGGTTAGTGTGTGTTTCGGAACATATGCAGGTTCGTTAGTCACTATTTTCTGGCTGTAGAAAACATATGCCATTCAGTTCCAGTATTATCTTCTCAAAGTTAATTTTAGAAAATATGTGTAGTCATTGTGTATTTTAATAATTCCCTCAAATTATTGTTTGTGACATTTCTCACTTCTATGGCTCCACTGTGGACCTAATTCTTAAATGCTCTTAAAGCATAAAGTCTAGAACCTAGGATACCTATTAACAGAGGATTTTGAAGTATAAGCTCATTATGAGCTTAGAACAGACGTAGCCATTAGGTAAACCTAAGTAAATTAAGTAATTATGAAATATTAATTAAACATTTCAAATATTTTAAAGAAAGTTAATCTGTTCATTACTATACACAGTTTTTTTTAGTTATAATTTTCTTAACCAAATTAATAATTTCTTCCCAATTAAATAAGTACTGTTTAGTTAAATCTTGATCGTATTGTGTGTAATGTAGTACTCCAATATTTTGAAATGTGCCTCCGACCCAATGGCTTACAACAAAGCCTTATAATTTCTACATCAATATCTCCTGACCTTCCAACTTATGCTATAATTATAGGCACTGTTTATTACGGTCTTTACTCATATTATCTCTATTGACAAATGACCTAACCCCAATTATAAGTCACGTACCTATCACCCAGAATCGTGACTGATAACCACTGTTAAATCATCAACAAATGACTTGACAGTGCTGTCATCTCTCGGCTATTCTGTCCTTGACAATGATTTAGGTTTATACAACGATGTATCAGTAATGATGTCACCTTTATTACGACACTCGAGTTAATAATACTAGAATGTTTGGCTTCTCTCAGCCACTAGTACTAGTTAGTGAACGAACGCTCCACAGTCGATACGAATACGAGTAATTATTCGATTTATATTTAAACTCGCGATGGAATCGATTTAATCGATTGTTTTTTGTGAAGTTTAGTGCTCTTGTTTAGAAGTGATTTGTGGATTTTTTTGGTTAACAGGTATTTATTTTTGTTTTTGTTTTGTTTTGATGGTAGGTCGTGAATTGTGTTGTGTATGTTTTGGTGCAATAGTTTCTGGTGGTAGTATTTCTTTATTTTTTCAAAGTAATACGATCTTCATTTGAATTTATTCTAATTAAACCTGTATAAGGATTGCAGGTAATTTGTTAATGAAAGAGGTTTTATGAAACTTACGTAATGATAAATACAAGACGAAATAGTAAACATTGTTGATCATAGAGCTCGGGTTCAATACTAGAGTAGTAAAATGTAGCAATTATTTTAAAATCAATATCTGTTTACATTGTACGCTAATCTTAAGACATTGAATGCCAATGATGATGAGGAACCTATTAGGAACCTACTCTATTCTATTATTAATAGTCGCGGAGAACCTAACGGATTACCGGGGCTCCGGCTCGACGTGCAGGAGAAGGCACGGGGTGGTTTTTAGGCAGTAAAAGTCTGACACTCCCTCCCGGGCGGGAGCAGTCATTCGATGATTTTCCCCACTTAAAAAAAAAGTCTATTATTAGCAAAACAAAATCATTGTCTTTTACAGAACTTAAAAATATGTTACTGTATACTTTGGTACCTCTATTCAACTCTTTTCAAAATGTATTCATTCGTTTATGTATACCTACATATGCGTATACCTATGTACCAATTCCGTAGCATCTCTTTTCAAAGCCTGGGACCGGATTGACTCTCTGTGTATTGTCATTCAACAAGAACGGGCTGGGTATATACAATAGCTTGTATTCACAGGCTCAAAATCACAATTGTTAGTAATGGCTTAGTTAGCCAGGCTATTTCAGTATCTAAATATTTTTGTGAACCGTGCGGTGAGAGCAGAACAAAATAACCAATCGTACCACCGCTGTTCTTTCTGCTGGTATGATAAAAACTGATTATCTAACTCTGTGATAAACTTAAACTGCAATCTTAAACTTGCATGTGACGCGTATTTAGTATTATAAAAAAAAAAACAAATAAATAAACTGGTGTGTAATGCGTATAGTATAATGGCAAATTTTAATGTAGAGAAGGTTTTAGAAGTGGGCTATCACATGCTGTTAATGACATTAGTGAATACATCTCATATTCTCATCATCATCAACAGCCTATAAGTGGCCACTGCTGACCAAAAGAGAAGGTTTGAGCATTAATCACCACGCTTGCTCAAACTTATAGTTAGAAATTATAAAGTCCAGGTTTCCTCACGTGTTTTCTTTCTCCATTTATCAGTGATGTCTAAATAATCTTAGCAAGTACCTACATATAACTCGAAAAAAGTCATCTTGGTAGTTGTTGTCTGTAGATTTCGACCTCGCATGAGGAATGCATGAGACGTTTCTTAGACCTGAAATCGAAACTGGGAATCGTAAAAGTGGACGTTACATTGTAATTTTATATGTGTGCATATTACCCCTTCAAAGTATTAAAAGACGTTATGTAGTTTAAAATCTTGCTGTTTGAAATTTGCGATATTTTGTTTGATCTCAAACTGTATACAAGATGAAGATTGAGCAAATATGAAACTAACACGTTAGACATGTCCTTGCTCGTCAAACATTAACATATATAATATATATTGTATACACATCACTTACTAGTTCCAAGTATCTATAGTATAAATAATAACCCATTAGTTGTTTAGTCAACCACTTCGTTATTTTATTCTTTATGCTATTTTTCCGATATCAATAGTCCATTCTAAGGTTGCTTGAAAGATTGTTGTTAGCAATAAGACCGCCCATTGTATAGATGCTGCAAAGACTATATATAATATATATAACTATAATTTCTATTTATCTATCTTCTATCTACCAATAAAGGGTTTTGATACCCAAAGAATAACAGTCAAACTCAATTTCTGGAAGTCATGACATTGCACAATTCAATCCTATTCCAAGGGACCCAATAACATAGTTAGCTGGCAAAATTGAAGAAGTACGCAGCATCTACATCTCTGCCAAATCTTCAGTAGAATAATAAGCGTGATGTTATGCAGTAATCGATAATAATATATTCGTTGAAGCATTTCCAAGAAATATAATCATGAACTGATTTGTATTTGGACATTTTTAGTTCTGATGTCACGGTGAACGTAATTTCCAAAAATCATGTCTTTAATTTAATTTTAGGTCGTCCTATGACACCAGGTCTTTGTTCATTGGTCTAAACTCTAAATTATCTATACAAAGTATAGGTATTGACTTTCGAAGGCAATTAATAGAATTTGAAGTATTTCTATTCTTATGTAGGTAGTGGCTTCAAACCTTCAGGAGCTCTTCTCGACTCCTCAAAATCCCACATTTAGACGCTTTTGCAAGCCTCGCTTTAAAATGTTTAACCATTACTTTGTACATCTCCCATAAACTAAGGCAATATTCTCTATTTTAATTCGCCCATTAAAACTAATAGGCCATAACGGTTAATTTTTACGAGGCTCATTTTAAACTGGAGTAAATAGGTTTGCATACCATCAGCTAACAAGCAACCACATACCTTGTTACAATAGATCCAAGGTGCATTTTAACATACAATTATGATGAATAATTTCCATGGAACCGGTGATACACGACCTTCCAATGTCCTGGCAATGAGACATTGGATTTTTCAGAATTATTAATTGATGTGTTTGTTGTTTTCCTTGACGATACGGGGTTAATAATAAATTGTTGCTATTGGTTAATTAGTGGTTAAAGTGGATTCATGCTTTAAATATTTGTCTGTTTTGTTTTTATTGTGTTTTCCTCTAAAGGTGTCATAAACCTAGTAACGATGTGTACGTTTATTGATCTATTTTTATGAGTTATGAGTTATCAGTACTTTAATAAAGGTGATGAGCATGTCATGAAATCATGCCATTTTTCAAAAGGATAAAAGTATCAAAATTTGACGCAATACCCACCTTCCCTCATTGTTATAAATCTAATAAAAAGAGGACGTTTTTGTTACCATTATTTATTAATTATTCTCAATACTTATTTCTTTATTGCTTTCCACATGTATGACTTAGGTGGTAAATATAATTAGGACACAATGTGGACCCTGTCGGGCACAACAATATAAGTTGTGAAAAATTCCTACAATATTAGTAGACCAGATGTCTAACGCTGAAATACTCAAATGCTACTCATTTTAAGTCGTGCTTAAGTATGATTTTGTCGGCGCGGAGAACCTAACGGGTTACCGGGGTTACCGGGGCTCCGGCTCGACGTGCAGGAGACGGAACGGGGTGGTTTTTAGTCAGTAAGAGTCTGACACTCCCTCCCGGAGCAGTCATTCGATGATATTCCCCCCTTAAAAAAAAGTATGATTCTGTCACTTCAAATCCTTTGTAAAACCACAGAGACGGCACGATATTTAAGTACATCTTTATACGTGAGTAGCATATCAGTATTCGGAGTGTAATTTGTTAAAACAAAAGAAAGTATCATACAGATAATATCGAAACAAAACTGGTTGAAACTAGTTCTGTCCCCAACCTACTTGGATTATAGCCAATAGAAAGAAATAATTGTCAGTAGGTAATAAAGATTCTCTCTTCTTATGTATTTACGTTAAGAGTAAATATATTTATTATAATTCGTTTCTTATATAGGTGTAAGTTTAAGTACCTACATTGATTTAAGAACGAAGAACATTGTGTTTGAGAAAATACTCTACTATCTAGTGAAAGATAGTAATCATTAGATCTTTATCCCAGTTTTGCCAAAGTGTCATTTCTCTCATTTTCTTGTAAATTTGATGCAAATCTTGCTCTGCTAATAAACAATACGAGCGGGAAAGAAAGAGAATTATCCAATCCAGTGCAGCCATTTGCGAGCTATGCGCGTACAAACATTTTGTCTGTTACAGAGAGAATATTACATTACATTTAAATATGTAATTTTTAAGAGAATAAATTATAATCTTAACAATGAAACTGACACAATTTTCCTAAAGTATCTATTTATCCTTTATGGCATACATAGGCTTGATTCCATGTGTCACACATCCTCATTTACACTGTAAAGGGTGTTACAACATGAATTAAACATACATACAGTGTGTTTAATTTTTATTAGCCATGACATAATTGTCTGAGTAATATTTTCTAAGTCATGTCATTTCTATATTTAGCTTGTTTCTACGAAAATATGAGGACATGTTTTATTTTAGTTTTATCTACAGCGTATTATTGTTTGCTTATGCACTTTGCTGCGATAATACATAATTATGTATACGCGATATTTGCACAGTTTTTAGTACCAACGGTTTTTGAGGAATTTGCGAAAAATATTATGTGTTTAATAAAATTTCTGTTTTTGTAGGTAGGTAGATAGTAATTTAAACACTTTAAATTTCGCTTTTTATTCCCGGAAGGTTAGGCAGAGGTGCAGATTATAACACTTAATGCAATGTAACACCCACTTTTCAATATTTATGTCATGAGTCCCATGTAATAGGGGGTGAGGATAAAAATTAAAGTTCTGATTTTCTATTTTAAGAGTAAGGAGTTTCAGTTTTGAAAGTACAGGTTTATCTGATGATGTTCTAGTCTTTGTCAAATCATGTGCCCAGTCTTAGTAATTCTTACGACTCCTGCAGGAAGGGCAGGGGTGTCAATTAATGTATGTTCTACTCTATGGTGACAGAGTCTAGACTACTATCTACTATTACTATATAGCCGCGGAGAACTTAACGGGTTACCGGGGCCCCGGCTCAAAGTGCAGGAATAGGAACGGGGTGGTTTTTAGTCAGTAAGAGTCTGACACTCCCTCCTGCCTCACCCAGGCGGGAGCAGACATACGATTATTTACCCCCTGAAAAAAACTATTAGGTACTATATGCTACTAGAATATCTTAGTGTCTTTTATACCTTGAATTTTACACCCAAAGCCACTTATATAGTTTTTCACAAGTATCTATTAATGTTAGTTTTTAACAAAATATTATTCTCTTGGCTAGCAAACAATAAATACTCATAGTTTGATGGTTTAAGTATCTACATAGTAAACATTTCCGGGGTCTCTGTTTATGTTTGAGATATTCTGGTTTTACGGTAAACATTCATGTACTTTTACTAAGTATTTATAGTATAAATCTTGCAGCAAAACCATTTTTAACCATATTTTCTTAATGTTACATAAAGTATCGCCTTTCTCACCCTGAAGGGGTAGATAGAGGTCCATGTATATATAGTGACATCCACTTTTCAATAACCAAAGTTATGAGTTTCATGCAATAAGGGGGATGAGTCTATTGCCAGGCATGAACTGGATACAATTCCAAACCCAGTGAATTTTTCCTTAACAATATATATTTTGCCATCAAGATAAATTATGTAATTTAGCAACCTATTTATTTTTCAATTTGTTCGTTTATCATCTGGTCAATTGGTTCGGTTAAAGCCCAACAGATGGCAGCACCTGTCCCACTGTTAAGACCACTAAACACTTTTAGATTTTTACTACTTCTTGTGTAACTATTTAAGTGTTATTCTTCAGTTAAACTCGGCTATAAATTTTGTAGCAACCTTGTGACTCAGTTGGTAGTATGAATGATTTCATTGTAAGCTCTTTCGTCATAATTATTTAGGTAGGTATGTGCTTGGTTATGTAAGAAATCTTTTTCTAAATATTTGCCATTCTTTTTTAAAAAGCAATAATTTTATATCTTTCTTCAATATGATAATACCACGATAATTTAATAGACACTTCCTGTTGACTGCCTTCTAACTAAATTCTCACTGTCTCTGTTCTTCAATCCTTACTTATGTGTAGATATACATTCTTTTTATTTCCGCCTTTTAATAAAATCAAAGTCTCTAAAAAGTAATGAAAATCAATGCTCAATTCTTATATTTAATTCACACTGTCTCTTCTACCTACTTCGTAGGCAATACAAATAAAAAATCGACCTCTCTGATCAAGTCTTCACATAATTTCCAGGAGGGCATCAGCATCCTATTGAAGTGTGAAGAAGCAGCCGAGATCCTGGAGACGAAGATCATGGAGTACCGCCAGGAGCAGGAGGTGCAGACGCTGCTGAAGGAGCTGGTCATCATGAGGGCCAAGATATCGAAGCTGCTGAAGCAAGCTAACGATGGTCTGGAAATCATCGAGGTAAGAAAGGTAACTTTACTCAACATTCTTTTGAATGGTGCTTTCTAACTGGATGTTGGGTAATAACTCTTGTTAACATTAGGTTAAAGGCTAGTTTTGCTATCTCTCATTAAACTACTGATAATAACGAATACACTAGTAATTAAAGAATATTTTACAATATATCAAATAGTTCCTCGTTTACATTCTTACATTATTGTAATATTTATTTATTTTCACACCCTGCTAATACTAACCAAACACATGTACCAATGAGAATGTTACATAGTTATTGGTGTGCTTACGTAATATTTAAGAAAATGCATTCATTCGTTAGATATTTAAATGTCACTGGTGGTACTAAGATAATATTATAACATAACATAACATCATGCCTTTTTATCCCTGAAGGGGTAGGCAGAGGTGCACATTACGGCACTTAATGCCACTGTACAGTGTAATTTCCACCCCAGTAATACTTGCCCGACCCGGGAATCGAACTCGAGACCCCTTGCCCGGCAGTCACACTTGCGACCACTCGGCCAACTGGTATATTATTATCATCATACCAATACAATACATAATGTTTTGGGTGAATGGACGTAGTTTATATTAAAAGTGTATTCAATTTTGAATTATTATTTTCAGGAAGCCAAAGTCCAAGTGGCTATTCAAGCGAAAGAGATAGAAGAAAACAAGGAGAAGATTGCCAAGCTAGACAAATGGCTGGAGACCATCAACAACGGTCTCAAAGAAACCGTCCACCAAACTGAAGTCCTCACAGAGGAAGATATTATTAGATATATTGAAATATATGATCGTTACCTAATTGAGTACGAGGAGTATGAAACTATTATGAAGTCAATAACTGTGATAAGTCAAGATGAAACTAGTCAGTCTTTGAAAGTGAAGTTGGTTGCAATGCAAAAGTCGTTAATGGAAACGAAGAATCTAGTCAATATAGAGATAGAAAGGTTAAGGCAGGTGCTGCTGCAGATCAAGTCAGCACCAGAAGTGGTCGACGACGACATCTCGCAGACTGATAGGACAATCGACTCAACGTCGATGCCCGAAGAGGTGGTGTCGCCTAGAGAGATTATAAAAGAAAAGGAAGTTTCAGAGAAAGTGCCATCGGCAAAACAGCCTTCAGTCGAAGAAAGTGTAAAAGTAACCGTACAAGAAAGTAAACCTAGTCATGAGAAGCCTGAACCAGTCCAAATCCAGGTTGTTAAAGAAACTGTGGCAATCGAAACACAAACTGGTAAGAGCCTTATGTCGGAGCCGCCGTCTGTGTCAGACAAATCTGTGATATGCCAACCTGAGGCCATAGTCACGCACGACGTATCCATCACATGCGCTCCTCCAGTTGAAATGGCTATACAAACTAGTGAACCGCATTCTGAAGCAAAGGAAATCCTTGAAAATATTCAAGTGAGACAGACAATTTCTGATGGTCACGAGACTATCGAAATTGCCAGTCGACCTGTGGTTAGAGAACAGAAGCTTGACGAGAAATCTTTGCTCGTGGACGCAAACTACAGGGACGATAACTTCAGAAAGGATTCACAGCTCAACATCACACATAGCTTGCCGCAGTCCTTCGAGACTGTTATGGTGGAACCTGACGAAACGACAACAGAAGTTGTAGTAGATGCCGATGGTACTAAGAGGATTATTGTAAAGAAGGTCAGAAAGACACTAGTCACAAGACAACAAATACTCCAGAGTCAACAACATGAATCTCATATATTATCTAGCGATCTCCCACTTGATGAGGCCTACTCCCAGATAGTGATAAGAGACGAGAAGGCAGGAACATCCACAACATTAGAAGATGGTGGAGTACAACATATGGAATATCAAACTTATGGTGGTCAAGTAATAACTAGCTTACCTGGTGGTGAAGTTACTATTCAAGAATTCACATCTAAACCCGACATGAAAATTACAATGGAGAAAGATATGAACCCTGAACAGATTCTTCTTCTTGCTGAGGGTCAAGAGCTACCTCAAGTTCAAACGTCTACTTCAAGCGTAACTGCTGTGGTTCAGCAAGTTACTAAGCGCATAGTAAAGACTCGAAGACGCATCATCCGTCGCGTCGTTATTATTGACGGCAAAGAACACGTAACTGAAGAAATTGTCGAAGAACCTGACAATGTTGAAGTAGTGGAGGAACAGATTCCGAGGGTTTCTATAAACGTTAGAGAAAGAGGTGACGTTCCACCTTCAGGAGGTGAAGATGATGATGATCGTCGAGATGATCACCCAGCCTTGCCACCTCGGAAAGACGATGACTCTTCTAAGGAGGACAGGCCGAAGTACGACAAACCAGATGACAAACCATCTGAGGATAGGCCGCATGATGACAAACCTAAAGACGACAAAGCTGATGATATTCAAGACCAACAAGTAGATGCACCAGTTGAGCTAACTCAAGCCCAACAACTCGAAAAGATGATGCAAGACTTTATTCAAAAGGAAGGTACAACACATCGTACTATTACCAAATCAACCACTAGAGTGCAAAGCTCACAAGAACGAGAGAGCAGTCCAATGGAGTTTGTTCAAAAGGAAGGTTCAATCCACCATACGATTACTAAATCAACAACTACTAGATTGCAAACCTCACAAGAACGAGAAAGCACTCCAGTTAAAACCGTAACAGTGTCTGAATCTTTCGAAATTCTACCAGGTCAACCTGATGAAACTACCTACATCGTACAAGAACCTCATGACGAGGACGGTCAAACAACATTGATAACCGAAGGAATGCATCATTCCACTTTCGAATCTTCCTCAACGAATGTAGCTACAGTTGTACAAAAAGTCACTAGAAAGATAACTAGAACGAGGAGGCGTATTATCAAACACATCCAAATTATCGATGGTAAGGAACACGTCACAGAGGAAGTGATCGAAGAGCCAGATGATGTTGAAGTCATTGAAGAAGAACCTCAAATATCTCACAGCATTCAAACCGAAGGCGTTAAAACAAAACGTATCAGAATAATCAAACAAGTACAGATTATTGACGGTAAAGAACATGTGACGGAACAAATAGTTGAGGAACCAGATGACGAGTATGTACCAGATTCTACAATAACCACTGAAATCGATGTCAAACTGAGCAAACCTGAGGCAATGGAAGTCATACAAGAGGACGATGTTAAGAGCGACTTCCCTACTATTACAAAATCTACTACAGTGACTGTCATGCCTACACAAAAAGATACCACGGTTATCGAAGTCACAAAGGGTTTGATTGGCAGTGAAATTGAACATTTTGCTGGAACTGCACCTGAAATAAAACAAACTACTGTTACTAAGGAAATAACATCAGATTCTTTCAAAAAGCCGGGTGATGATACTGATGCTACAGTGAAGATCGTCAAAGAGACTGTCCAGTTCAATGAGCCTGAAATAACTTCCACCATTACCACCAAGGAAACAGGCGGTTTTACAACAACTACAGTAACTAGGCATGTCACATCAGAGTTCACTACTGTGACATCTACTGATACTCAGAAAGACACTAGTTTGATTGATATCACAAAGAGTTTGATTAGTAGTGAAATGGAACACGCATTGGAAGATACTTCAAAGAAACCAAAAGAACCGCCTAAAGATGTTCCAGTAAAACCTGAACCAGTTAAAGAAGAACCAGTTAAATCTGAGCCGATAAGAGATGTTCCAGTAAAATCTGAGCTAGTTGAAGAAGTGCCAATTAAGTCTGAACCGATTAAAGATGTTCCAGTTAAATCAGAGTCAACTACAGTTGTTGTAGAGAAAACTAAATCAACTGAAGAAGTACCAATTAAGTCTGAACCTATTAAAGATGTTCCAGCTAAATCTAAACCAGTTGAAGAAGCACTAGTTAAAACTGAACAAATTACAGTTCGCAAGGAAACTGAAATTGTCAAATCTGCACCTGTTGAAGAGCTACCGGTTAAATCGGAACCCATTAAAGATATTCCAGTTAAATCTGAACCAGTCAAAGAAGAAACAATTAAAAAAGAACTGGTTACAGAAGAAATAATAAAATCTGTACCAATTAAAGAAGAACCAGTCAAATTTGATAGTCCAGATGTAACAGTTATCACTAAAACAGTAACTGTAACTACCCCAATGGACGAATCTAAAACAACAACCGTTGTTACCTCTGCAAAGTCAACTTCTGAAGTCACACAAAAAGAAACTATTGCAACAATTGGCATTCCAGAACCAGTGTATCCTAAAGAAACAAAAGAGGAAGAACAACCGTCTAAAGAACCTGTACCTAAGGACAAGACTCAGGAGCCTGAAACAGTGATGCAGATAATTCAAGAAACCGTTCAGTCTACTGAACCTGAAATAACAATCACTAAGAAAACAACTGAAGTAACCAAAGTCACAGACATCATCAGTGATGCACCAATAATCACTGAAACTATAACTAAGACTGTTACAACAGAGATTCCAGAAACAAATGGAATTAAGGATACAACACTCGTTGACATAACTAAAAGTCTTCTAGAGAGTGAAATGGATCATTCGGTGGTTTCTAAAATACCAGCGTCACCTGTGAAAATTGTTACAAAATCTGAAGAAATCAAACAGGTTCCTTTGAAAGAAACAAAGGCACTTAAGGAACCTAAACAAGAAAAACCTATCGATGAAAAACTACCAAAACCAGAGGAATTAAAACCAACAGTGACAGTTGAAGTTAAGTTAGTTGAGCAAAGATTACCAGCTAAAGATGTTTCTTCAGATAAAGAAGTAGTAGTGGAAGTTTCTAAACAATCACAAGTGGTGACTGACACAACAATCACAACACAAAAGGATTCATCTCTTTATGATATCACTAAGAGCTTTATTGGAACTGAAATTGATCATTCAGCTATCCATAAAACACCAACAAAACCTAAAGAGGATGAACTTGTTCCTCAAAAAGAGAAAACTGATCATATACCTAAACCTACAACACCCGAAAAACCTAAAAAAGATGAATTTATTCATGAAAAAGAAGAAATTGTGAAATCGCCAGAAACAGAAAAGGTTAATGATAGTGAAACAGTTACCACCACTACTCATAAAACTATAACTACGACGACTAGTGTTCAAGAAAGTAAGCCAACAGTAGAAACAGTTGTAACCAAGTCACCTGAAATTGTAACAATAGTCAAGGAAACGATTGAAATCGAACCTGAATCTGTTGGTACCACTGAAGACATTTTTGTGCCTGAACCTGAAATGGCTCAAGCTTTGGAAGTGACTGATGTAACTCCTGCAAGCACATCTGACCTACCCAAAGATACAGGTCTAGTTGATCTCACAAAGAGCTTCATTGGTAGTGAGATGGACCATACTGTAGTATCCAAGATTCCAGCTACGCCAATCAAACGAGAAGAGTCACTAGAAATGGCGGTCGAAGCTACTGAAGAACCACAAACACCCGAAACATTAGCTCCAATAAAAGATGTTGTTATTTCTGAAACTGTAACAGTGACCAAAATTCCCGAACCTCTTGATATAGTTGATGAACAAGTAGTGGTCAAACCAGAAAAGCCAATTTGTGAAGAAGATAAGAAAATTGTAGAAACGCTGAAAATATCTGAGAAAGAAACGATATCAGAAAAGAAACCTAAAGATGATAGTGTTCAGTTCATTACGCAGGAGATTACAGAACAACAGGGCGTAACACAATTCAACGTGACAGAAATTACACGAGAACTGTTAGAAAAGGAGAGTATTCACGCAGGTACTATTCATTCACCTGTAAAGGTGGAACAAAAACCAAAAGAGGTGACATCTGATGTTCCTAAAGATTACTCTGGAGTCACAGTTACCCAAGTAACTCAAGTATCTACAAGCACTCCGATCGAACCTAAAGAACCAGTTCAACCTGATGAAAAACTATCAACTGTATCAATTTCTATCAAAGAACAGCCTTTGCTTGAAAAGGAAGAAATTGTGTCTGTAATCACTAAAGATGAAATAACATCTAAAGAACCAGTACCGAAAGAACTAGAGGTTGTTGAACCTTCGGCTCCAGTCTTTCCAGATGATAAACAGTCCCCAGAACGCGAATTCCCAGAGGTAGGAATTGACAAACAACCCAAGATTGGTGTTGTTGAATTAGTCAAAGAATTCATCACCCAAGAAGGTACCGATAAATATGAACGCATTGCTGAAACAACAAAGACTGAAGTTGAAAGGACTGTTAGCCAATCTGAAGTTCCCAAAGATTACTCAGGAGTCACAGTTACCCAAGTGACTCAAGTCTCTACAAGCACTGCTATCGAACCTAAAGAACCAGTGCAACCGGATGAAAAATCATCAACTGTATCAATTTCTATTAAAGAACAGCCTTTATCTGAAAAAGTAGAAATTGTATCTGTCGTCACAAAAGATAAAATAAAATCTGAAGAACCAGTACCGAAAGAACCAGAGATCGTTGAACAACCTTCGATTCCAGTCTTCAAAGATGATAAACAATCTCCAGATCGCGATTTCCCAGAGGTAGAAATTGACGAACAACCCAAGATTGGTGTTGTTAAATTAGTCAAAGAATTCATCACTCAAGAAGGAACCGATAAATATGAACGCATTGCTGAAACTACAAGGACTGAGGTCGAAAAAACAGTTAGTCAAATCACTACAGAAAAAGGACCAACACAATCTACGATTGAAGTTAAACCACTGAAAATCGGAACTGTTATTTCTGAGACTGATGTCACTGAAGTTCCAGCGGCTCCTGAGATGTCCTACATCAGACAGTTTGAACCACAAATTCAAGGTTCTTCCGATAGTGTCAACAAATTGATGATGACATTTGGTCAACCTGAGAAACAAGATGTCCCATCTCAAACAACTGAATTACCTGGTTTTACTCAGCCTCAGCCAGACAGGCCTGGAACTAAATATGATGTCTCTATGTTATTACATTCTGAACGCCAAGATACTGATATCAGGGGATTCAAACCTGAACCTAAAGTTACACAGCTTGATAAACCAGAACAAACAGTGGATATTTCACTGTCTTTGACTAAATCTCGTGAAGCAGATAAGGTTAAACCTGAAGTTCAATACGACTTAAAGGTTGAACATTTCGAAACTGAACCAATAGTTGTCAAGAAAGATATTGAAGTGATTCTGCCGAGCGAAGTTAAAATCACTAAAGAAAAGGTTACAGTCCCTATCGCTGATGTAGTACGTGAGGAACCAAAAGCAGAAATCACACCACCGGAGTCTGTAAAGGAAACTAAGAAGAGCAGAAGGAAGAAGAAGCATAAAACCGATTCTATAACAAGCGAGTCGACCGAAATCGAAACGGATAAGAGTATTGCGGGTACTGATAGCTCATCCCTGAGTCACTATGTGGAGCTTCCAGTCTCTCCACCTCGTGAATCTCCTACACCAACCGAGGATGTATTAGAACCAGTTGCAGTTCCTGAAGTAATACCTGAACCGAAGGAACCAACGCCAGTTATTAAATCCGCAACACCTGAACCTGAGCCTGTGCCTGAAAAGATAAAAACACCCGAGGAACAGGTACTTGAGGAACCACAGATCCCTGAAATCGAAGACTCTTATGTTGAATCAGAATCTCTTACCATCTCTGAAGAAAAAGGATACGAGCCTGAAGATTTATCTTTGGGTCCAGTACCGACAACTGAAACTAAAAAGAAACACAAGAAACGAAAACCTCACAGAGAAAGCGAAGAGACGGCTTATCCAGTAATAACTACAACAGAGACTGACGAAACTACTGTAACAACACCAGTAGAGATGCGTGAACCTGGAAAGAAGGGCAGAGATAAGAGACGCAAGAAGAAAACTCCAGTGGAACCAGTTAAGTCACCTTCGGAGCCAGATGTGGAGCCAGAACCTGTTGTAGAACCAGAGCCAGTGGTTAAACCTGAAAGTCCTAAACTTGGAACGGAAGTTGAAGCTTCATCGCCCAAAGAAGAGTCTTACCATACCATTAGTGAAACATCTGATATTACCACTGTCAAAATCGTCGAAGAATGCGTTCAAAGCAGCCCTGAGACTGCCGAGAGGGAAGTGGGAACTATCCTTAAATTCCCTGTTCCAGTGGTAGAAGAAATTGCTACTACCGAATATTCTATTCAGACTTCTCCTGAAGAACCTGAACCTGTTGAAGAGGTACCACGACCAGAAACATCGGATATTGAAATGCAGACCACACCAACATCCATGAGTGAAGTTATTACACAAACGACGCCAGTAAAAGACAAAGAAGCTCATACACAAACAGTTGAAGAAGTAGTTACTGTAGTAGAAAAGATTATGTCAGATACTGAAATACAGACCAGTAGGTCAGAAACTCCTGAACAAATTGTACAACTTGAAGCCACAACTCAGGTTATTCCTCATGATATTAGTACTCCTGAGGAGAAGTTTTCACAAACGTCACCAATGGTTGAAGAACCTGTCATTGTTGAAGAGAAATCTGTAACTCCTGAGATCATCACAGAATCGCGAGAAATGCAAACGTCTCCATTGCCAGTAGTACAAAAAGATGAAAAGAGTACAGAAATTGTTGTAGAAACGACTGAAACAGATATTCAGACTGTTCAACAAGAAATTACGGAACAAGGAACTTCAACTACTCCTATCAAAGAGAAGGAGCTGACTGAGATGGGTATGCAAACACCTGAAGTACCACTTGTAAGCACTTTCACTCAGTCTGATACGCCTGAACCAGAGCCTGTGAAAGAGGTTGAACCTGTACCAGTGGAGGTTCCAGAATTACCATCATTACCTTCTCTCGAAATAAAGAAAGAGATCATTACTGTTGACAGCACCCAGCAAACGACACCACGAGAAGAGGTTGAACCTCCTAAATTAGAAGTCAAAGAGGTTGAGACTGTTGACACTTCTCAACAAACTACTCCCCGAGAGCCTGAGCCAGTGGTACAATTGGTGCCCGAATTGCCAAAAATACCAGCATCAGAACCTGAACCAGTGCCAGTTGTAGAACCTGTTATTGAACCAACGGTGGAACCAACAAGAAAGATCATAACGGTAGACAGCACCCAACAAACTTCTCCAAGATCTCCACCTGTAGAACTTGCTCCTACACCAATTCCAGCACTAGACTTAGAAAGAAGAGATGTTATCACAATCGATAGCACCCAACAAACTTCACCCAGAAACTATTCAGAAGATTCCATATCCACTTCCACGGACGAACCGTATGAAATCCACCTTAAAGCTCAGATTTCGATTCCGCAAGCCACTACGGAGTTCATTGAGAGTGAACGCTCATTCGAAGAACCTCCCCAATCTATTTTGGGTGAAAAATACAAACAGAAGAGGCGAAGGACGAAAAAGAAGACGGAATCATCACTCTTGCAGTCCCCAGAAAGTCTATCGGATCCAATTAATACTGAGCTTTCTTTGTCCGTGACACCAACCAGTGAAGATATGTCACTGAAAGATGCGTCCTCGATTGATGAAGGTATCTCTCAGCTTGCCAGTCCTATGACGTCCAAGCAAACACAACACAAACTCACATACTCTGATGTTGTGCAAAGGTCAAAGTCTAAATCACCATCTCCTAGCAAGACTATTATCTCTCACAAATCTGAAAAAGCCAGATTACTAGATGCTCTTGAAAAACGAACGCAATCAGTAACTGAGCCACAGAAGACTATCCCAGATGATTCCATGACTGTTGCATTATTAGAACCGTCAGTAGAGAAATCCTATAACTTAGTTGTCAATAAAGAACTAGATGAAGTAAAGAATTCAATAGAGAGCAATGATCCAACACGAACTGAAAGGAGTGTAATCATAGTCATTGAAACCATTTCAATTTGGTTAGAAGAAATTCAATACAAGATCCAGAGACAGACTGTCAGCGGTGTGAAGTCGACAGAAGAAACTGAACGTCTTAAAACACTCAAGAAACATGTTCACGACCTAAAGCACATTATCGAAGTGACTGAAGTGAGTGAAGAAATAATTACTTTGATCGAAACATTAACGCGTCAAGTGGATGCGGTTAATACTTTGAACAGTCAAAGCTCGGTCAAAGTGAAAGAAGTAGAAAAAGAATGGATCAAATTTTTAGAAGATACAGATAAACTAAGCTACTCTGTGGAAGCCGTGAAAAATACATTAGACAATGTTATAATGTCGGAACTACCAACGCAACAGAAATTGGAAAAGATAGATAAAATCGAAACCAACAACTTGGATAACTTTGAAACAATTAGGAAAATGTTCAAGAGGTGTCGCAGTCTTGTTGAAGCGAACCCTAAGAGGGAATGTCCATCTAAGCTATACAATGCTGAGGACGACACCAAACAAGTAGAAAACATCATCAATACCGAAAGGGATAGACTTTTGCAGCTAGCATCTCTGGCTGAGGAATACGAACAAACGCTACAGGACTTCGGGCAGATCACTGATGTAGCCGAAGCTCTAATCGATGGCAAGATCATTGTGTCGGACCTAGACCACTTACACGAAGAGATTCAAAAGCACAGAAAATTCTTCGTTAACCTAAGCCATTGCAGAGCCATCCTTGAGTCTTTAGAAGATAACCTGGATAGTGAAACAAGAGCGAAGTTTTCATCTTTGCACAATTCTTTGCACGATAGAGCGACGGCCATCATCGACAGAGCTGCAAGTCGAGCTCAACAAATGACGTTAGCAGCATCCAGGTGGTCTTTACTTCAACATGGAATGAAGGAAGAACGCCAATGGCTCATAGTCGCGCAACAAAGAGTCCCAGACCTCAACAACGTCACTTCCAGAGATCACGAACAATACATCAATCTGTATCAGTCTATAAGTCTGGATGTCTCGCATCATTATGCGAAGATGTTACGTCTTCTGTCCATTACAGAAAGCCTTCAAAACTTAATAGTTTGTTCTGGTTTAGAATCAGAATGTTCTGTAGCATTAGATACATTATTGAAGCTACAGGAAGATGTGGACTCCAGGCTCACAAGACTGACAGCCTTTAAAGAAAACTGGGTAACGTACGACCTTCTCATTGACCGAATTGAAGGATGGATGAAGGTTGCAAACAGAGAACTTGAATTTATCACTCCAGAAAATATCACTACAACAGGCAATCTCAGAAGATTCTGGGAACTAAAGGCTCAGCACGAAGTTCATAATAACTTGAAGAATGAATCAGGCGTACAATTTGAAAAGGCTTTAGAAATTCTACCAGTCTCTGATGAAATGGTACAAAGACAATTCTTCTCTAAGATCGAAGACAAATGGAGTGAACTGGCAGCCAAGATCGGCAACATTCACTCAACGGCAATACAGAACATCTCAGACCGTGACGTATCCTCAGGAGAGAAGCTCAACATACTTGAGGAAGAATTAAGAGAACTGCGTGCAGCTCTAGATAGTCTTAAAGGTGTGATTAAGAGTGAAGACGAACTCAACTTGTACATTGAAAGACTTCAAGTCATGACTGGACGTATTGACAGAATACAGAATGAACTGGGAAGATTGAGCTTGCTGCGTACTGCTGAATCAGAGCGCTTGGGTGCTCTGTTGACGCAGTCAGGTATTCTTGACGATCAGATCTCTGAAGAGCTTGAACGCAGCATGCTGTTGAAGGAGAAGATAGTGCAAGTGCAGGCCGGTATTGTAAGATGCCAGAAGAGTCAGCGCCGAGCTCGATTGACGCTTGAAGAGTGTGAAGCAGCTGAAAGGATGGGCAGTGATGTGGTGGAGAGGGCTTCGGAGAACTGTGACAAGTTGATAGACGAGCTGGCGTCGCAATGGAGGGACATCCTGGCACTCAGGCAGTCGCTGCACACGCTGCCGATCAGTCTGCGGGTCGTCGTGTCACCTACGGGCGTCGAGAGAGACATCTCTGCTTTGCAGGTAACTTTCAATTAATTACAGGCGCTTGAATAATGAGATATTGAAACTGCTCAATTGCATTTACATTTGAACAAATTAATAAAACATAGAACTTATTATATATATATTATATATATAATATATAGTAATTATACATACTTTACTGTTGGTTTTAACAAATCTTCTTCTCAATAGGAAACACACGCAGAACTAGAAGCCGCTTGCAGCGACTTGAGCAGTCGTCTTCGAGCCAAACTACAACTATGGCGTCGCTTCGAGAGACAACTGGAACTGGTGCAGGGCGCAGTACGTGAAGCTGATTACATGGTGGAGTTGCTGACCGTCCAGGGACAAGTGGACTATGACCGGCTACTTAAGGCCACTGAGAAACTTGAGGTAAGGAGCTCTTCTTATAATGGTGATAATTTAGGTACCTTTACGAAATAATAATGAAATCAGCCATCTGCTACAAGTAAAATAATGTTTAAGTAGTATAATACAGTGAAACTTGGTTAAGTGGGACCTGGATAAGTGAGAAACCTCCATAACTGGAACTCATACTGAGGTCCCAACACTTTGGTACTGAATTACCTCTGTTAATGGGACGAGGTAAACCTCTATATCTGGGATTTGTTCTTTCGATTTATCATCTTAGTTACCTCTATAACTGAGACAGCGAGTAAATTTTATACGCATAAACCTCTGTAACTGAGATAACATTGTTTATTACTCATTCTTATTCTACCCACAAATTCCACACATAATTCCAAGTCCACCTCTATTAATGGAACCCTCAGTAAATGAGACAGATATTTATTTATACCTGTATATCTGAGACACTGGGTAAGTGGAATACCTCTATAAGTGAAACGACATTGCAGGTCCCTTGATGTCTCACTTAACCAGGTTTCACTGTATATTTACTTTATAATATGCGATCGTCTACCTACCTCGATTAAAAAACAAAATTAATTCGATATCAATTTTGTTTTCCCCTTTATCTTCATACCCTGCCCTGCTTAAATGTTTAATAGCAGACTAAACTACCATTTACATCACTTCAAAAATTAGTACCTACGTATTACCCACGTATTACCTAAGTGATATAATATATTTTAAGTGAAATTAACAATTAATTTTTTTTACATTTTCAACGTTTTATTCTATACTTAAAAAACATTTTCTCCCTTAGACCCTGAGCGAGTCGCTGTCCCGCCGCAGCGGGCAGCTAGTAGGCGAGCTGTCGCTGGCGGCGGCGCCCCTGCAGGCGTCCACCGAGCCGGCCGTGGCCGCCAGCCTGCGCCGGGACCTCGACGACGCCGCCGCCGCCTACGAGCAGACCTGCACCAACCTCAACCAACTCTGTGACAAGTAAGTCGAAGGAAAAATTAACTCTATTGCCAGGTTTCGGTAATTTTTCAAAGGCCAACATAAATATCATTTGTCATCCTATTGATATCTGATTTTATTAATTACTTATTCTTTGCTGTTTCTAGAAGGTTGAAGACCTTGCTAGCATACCCTAAGTTTCTCAAAAAAAACACAGTCTTTAAAGAAACACCCAATTTTCGATATAAATATGTTATGACTTCCATGTAGTCAAAAGTGGGTGTTACATTGTACAGTGGCATTAAGTACCGTAATGTGCACCTCTGCCTACCCTTTTGGGGATAAAAGACGTGATGTTATGTGAATTACATGTGACTTCCATGTGCAAGCCTAATATTTTCTAAATAGTTTGAAAGACAATAATGCAGTGTTTAAACAAATATTTCCCATCTACTATCGGTGAACCAAGACCTAACGTGGCTTCCTTCACCAGGTACCACAAAGCTGTAGAGCTGTGGAAGCGGTACAGAGACGCTGCGGCTGCCGTGCGAGCCTTCGCTGACTTCCAGGAGTCAAGGATCCACGCACTCCGCCCTGATGATGCACCCAACACCGCTCAAGTAAGTGCTAAGGTTAATTTTTCAAGTCAAGTCAAGTCAAAATCATTTATTTCAATTAGACCAGGATGGCACTTTTGAACGTCAAACAACAAAAATTTATAAGTGAAGCTAGTTGCTCATTCCAAGGCGTAGATTCCTATAGAGAAGAACGAGCAAGAAACTCCATAGGTTACTCTTTTTCAATCAGGTTTCACAGGTTTTATCATGTGGTACTGTTTCCTTTAGATTATGTTGTGATTGAATCTACCTACATGTCTGATTTTACTCTGGAATGATCATGTTATTTGATTTTAAAACTGCTTCATTATAATGTATGTCATTGAATAGGTCTATAACAGTTCGATGGTAGTCTTGAAAATATTATATCACTATACAAATAAGGAATTAAGTGTAGTACATAATTTAAACTGTACATCATCACTACATATCTTTAAAACTACGCAACGGATTTTGATGCGGTTTTTTTTAATAGATAGAGTGATTCTTAAGGTAGATTTATATGCCACGGAGAACCTAACGGGGCACCGGCTCGAGGTGCAGGAGAAGGAACGGTGTGGTTTTTAGTCAGTAAGAGTCTGACACTCCCTCCCGCCTCATCCAGACGGGAGCAGTCATTCGATGATGTTCCCCCCTTAAACTGTCAAGCACCGCGAGTACACCGATGACCGCAACCTATTGTTCTTTAATTGTGTCTATAATGACGGTACTCCAAGGGTTAAAAAAAAGGTAGATTTATATGTATAATACACGCATATTGCACCCGTGCGAAGCCGGGGCGGGTCGCTAGTTGTAGATGAAGTAAATATACAGTAATATACAAAGTATTAAGTTAGATATATTTTAGTTATCTATAAAAGACCTTTAAGTTATAATGGAGATTAATATAGATAACCTCAACCTACTTAACAAAAAGGTCTAACTTAGACTTAACATTTATTCTCAAGCTTCCAAACATATATACATTAGCAGGTAATTCAAGTTACCACCTACTTAACTTTAAGATACACCCAAAGATCAATAAAGTAAAGTGCAAATAGACTTCGAACCCGATGAGTCACGCGATCTGACCGCACCTAACACTTTGCACGATTAGGGTCGATGAACACATCTGATAGTTTCAGTAGTCTCGAGGGGATAGCCTAATATATGCATTATTTTATTATTATGTAGATTTCAATATAATACATAGGAGTATAGTCTCGTTGACGTGATGAAGTAGCTTGTCCTTTTTGAACTTGAAAAATATTAAGGTGTGTTATTTAAGTTAAAATTATATTGTTCGTTGGCCCAGTAGTCGCAAGTGCTACTTACGGACAAGGGGTCTTATCGGGCAAAGTATTAATGAGATTTTTTGAAAATTCTCAGTTGTTGCACGGTGCCTGGAATTGTGTTCGGTATATTATTATGGCAATAGGCTCACCCTCTATTACACAGGACTCATAACATAAATAGTGAAAAGTGGGTGATACATTGTGCAGTGGCATTAAGTGCCGTAATGTGCACCTCTGCCTACCCCTTCGGGTGTTTCATATAAATCTATTATAAAATAATATTGTGGTAATATAATAAATACAGAGTACCATATTAGGTAGTAGGTACCTAAATTAAATTGTAAGATGGATTTTAAAATACATATAAGTGGCGGTTTCACCACACATAAAAATTAAGAGTCAAAGTTAAAATCAAAATCATTTATTTCAATTGGACCAGGAAGGTACTTTTGCACGTTAAAGAAAAAATTTCAGTCTGTCGATCAGTCCTCTAGTGAAGGCTATTTGATATTGCTTGCTTGATTTGATGCAATTTGACGAATTTGATACATCACAATCTAAAACTGTTGTATTTACACTTACAATAGTATTCTTTGGACCAGATGTACATTTTTTAAACTCCTCAAAACTCAATAATTACAAAGACTTTTTAATAAGACAGTGATGATACACTAAAGTTTTTGTGCCCCATATTACATTGAATTGGATACAATTAGCCAGTGGGAGTGTTGGACGCGCGTTCGCCATTTTTTGCGATAGAGGTCTATGCACTTAACATAGAGGTTTTTATGTTTCATTCTCTTTTGTTAAAGCAATGTGGACACTATGATATACATTATTTAATTTTTCTTTTTTTGAAATGATTACTGTAAATTGTCAAATAGTATGTGGTTTGTTTAGACGTCAGTGTTATAAGAATTTTGTGTTAAAGAATACTATGTGGGAAAATAAACATTAAATATCGTTGCCCTAACGGGTAACCGGGGCCCTAACGGGTAACCGGGGCCACGGCTCGACGTGCAGGAGAAGAAACGGGGTGGTTTTTAGTCAGTAAGAGTCTGACACTCCCTCCCGCCTCACCCAGGCGGGAGCAGTCATTAGATAATTTTTCCCCCCTTAAAAAAATACACATTTTGCCTAATAAAAACCGTCTATAATATAGAATATAATTAACCAAAAAAACACAATTGGTAAAAATAGGATTGCTAATACCGACGTTTATTTTTGCAAAGTACCTATAATGTCAGAGGTAAAATACACTAGAACAAAAACACTCAATGACATTGAATATTTCTACGTAATTGTATTATTTCTCAAAACAGGTGCAGAAACAGTATTTACTTTCATTTGTTTCTGAAAGCAGATTTAATTCACTCAAGGGCATATTGCAGACTTGAATGTCCATCTGATATAATATTATTTTTCTTTTATTTTTAATTCACTGCCTCGTTGGCGAGTGCGACTGCCGGGCAAGGGGTATCGGGTTCGATTCCCGGGTCGGGTAAAGTATTACTGCGTTTTTAAAACATTCTCAGTAGTAGTGCGGAGTCTGGAATTGTGCACGCCCGATATATGGCAATAGGCTCACCCCCTATCACATGGGACTCTATATATAACATAAATAGTGAAAAGTGGGTGTTACGTGCATTGTACAGTGGCATAATATGCACCTCTGTCTACCCCTTCGGGGATAAAAGGTTGTGTTATGTTTCAATTCATTTACGGCTATTCAAACACTACTTTATCACCTCTGAACAAAAACCTCTTTTTTAAAAGGGGGCTTACCATACCTTAAATGTTAAATAAGAAATATTTTTTTATTCTATTTGATGTAGACCACACTCGTTTATGCTCGGCAATTATAATTATTATTATAGCTTCTGACAAGGTAGTCTACCTAACCAAAAATTTGACCAGGCTTAAGCAACTGCTTAATTTTATCCTGTCGATATTAGGATAGCATTAAGCACATCCCTATTACAGTGTTAGGGTACACGACCGGGTGTACTTGACGTCCATATCGATACATCGATAACTGTCGGTAGCGGCCAAATATGACAGCGATTTATTGCGGCTGCGCGTGCACATGATCGGCATGATGTCATTCGTATAGTTGACATTGACTGAGTTACTGTGATAGTGCATCCATGAGCTGTGAATTCTGTGAAGTAAGTGCGAAATGTGTATGCTTAGCGAGATTTTTTTGACCATGTAGACAACCTGAAACGATATACGTATTTACTTTTCTTAAACTGTCAAGCACCGCGAGGACACCGGTGACCGCAACCTATTGTTCTTTAATTGTGTCTATAATGACGGTACTCAAAGGGTAAAATTGTTACTTTTTTGTGCTGCAGATGACTAACAAAGGCTTGAATTTAATTTCCAAAGCAAAACACGTATTTTTGAGAATATCTGTGTATTCAACTAGCTTTGTGCAGCGGCTTTACCCGCGTAGGCTTAGCCTATCGTAGCCACATAGGATTTCGGGCCTGCGGACGGTGAGCATGAGTGGCTCGCCGCGCGACTAGAACCAGACCCGATCGTATCCGACCCTGGCGCGTCAGACCATCACGGATGGAGCCCAATAGGGCTGATGCAGATTCGGAGTCGCGGACAACCTAACGGGTTACCGGGGCTCCGGCTCGAAGAGCAGGAGAAGGAACGGGGTGGTTTTTAGTCAGTAAGAGTCGTGACTCTCCCTTCCGCCTCACCCAGACGAGAGAAGTCATTCGATGATTTTCACCCCTTAAAAAAGCCACGTCGGATTTAGCGGAGTTCTTTTTATAACTACAATGCTGAATTTAAAAAAAAGATTATGCATAAAGTAGTTGCGCATACAAACATATTTCCACATTAAATTTATAATATCAGTAGTGTTTCAAAAATAAACGAGATAATTTTAATTACTGTTAGGTATATACGTAATTAATGAATTCTGAGAAAGTATTACAGTGGCCTATCAGTTTGTGTCAACAGAACTATAAGTAACTGTGGTTCACACGATCGAATCCAAACAAGAGTATCAGTTAGTAAACTGTGACATATTGTTTATTTTTGACCTTATGTAGTTTACTTACTATACAAGGATGATATTGTATTTGGATTTGTTATTATTCTGTATATGGTGTGTTTAATTTGTATGTGTCTA